CATTTCGTACTCTCCGTTCCTACAATCACAGCAACGCGTTTATCATCGGTGAAAATCCAAGCGGAACTCCTTTCGGAATAGTCTTCTCGCGCTTTAATGGCATTTATGGCGCGGAAGAGGAGCGTTCGAAGCGGATGGACGGTGAAACTGATGACGGTGAACGGAAGGCAACAGAGGACCGGTTCACTGCTGGTTTGGCTTTTCGCTATATAGCGGGTTGCATAAATGCACAGTCGAGCGAACAGAGAACGTTGGCCCGGCATCGGCGGCGGTAGTTTGTCGGGATGTCGCGCAGAAGCAGGGTCCGGTAGCTCGCGGAAATGGAGGTTCGCCCTGTTTCAACCTTCGGGTCTGGACCCCTCGTTCCTCCTCCGTCTAACTTCCCTCTGTCTCGTTCCCGGCAGGGAATTCCCGTATGTGAATTGTGGCTTCGTATGATAATCTGCCCGGAACCGATTGCTCCATCAGATTATAACACATTGAACGATTCGTTAGTATCTAGTCGTTATTAAGACACGTGTTATGACATTGTATGACATTATGGAAAACGTGAATACGTTTTTTTCAATTACGTTCTTCGGTTTTGTAAGACAACTCATCAACGTTTAGGATATCGTAATTACGTTTGAAGTTCTTAATTTTGCTTCATTAATTTGAATACGAAGATAATTTCTCTGTGATGAAATCGTACAGAGAGACAACCGCTGTCGAGAACTGTGATTATGTACAAGTTTGATTGTAATTTAATCGTATTCTCAATGCTTTAAATGGATGTTATTTTTGGAAAAAGGGATTCGTCAACCGCGATTGCAAATGTCTGGGTAATCGTAATTGTTGTGGTCAAAGAGCATATCCGCAAATAGCGTTTGTCTCTCCTGTTTTCCAGCGAGTTAATTACGGCAGCGGGAGTCTATTATTCCGGTGCAGCGTCAACTCATAGCAGTGTTATTGGCCGTACATTTAATACCTAAATTTAATTTCCTCTGCGGCCGGCTCGCCGCGGCTGCCCCTTGTCCTTTGTTGTGCAATTTCATTGGCGAGCAACTGTTGATGTAAACGATGACCAAAGCTATCGGCCGAGCTTAAATTATTCACCGTGTCCAAGACTCGATACACAACGGCGACGATGTTCGTATCGGTCGTAATTTCTTGTTTGGAGGTCGCCCGCTGGGCTGAATAGTAATCATGCACCGTTACGACTTCGTTAGCAAATCGAGAGTNCAGGTGGAAGGGTCGGCTCGAGTACACCGAGGGTGTCTACCCACTTGGCTACACACTCGGTCCTCTCTTATCCAGTAGTCGCGCGCCTCGCCCGCACGTTCTACCGACTTCAACGAGGCAACTGCTTAACCGCGTCATAAGCAACCTCGCGAAACGCTCTTGGTCGTCGCGTCGAGCACGGAGCCAACTCGCTGGCTCCTAGCCGGATAGAGTCCCGGCTGCATCCTCGCAGTGACGCACGCTTTCGCGGGGTCATCCGACCATGCGCCGCGCCGCGGAATGAAGACGATTACCGTGGGTAAACCTTGACGCCTTCAGTGAATTTTCCGCGAGGTTTCGAGTGCATTGTGTATTTTAGAACCGTACAGGCTCGAGCACGAACGCGGGTGACGTAAACCGGGGACAAATAAACGTTGTTGGTCCGCGGTAAATAGTCATCGATATTTGTTACATGATCTCGCTTGGATTGCCGAGCTGTCGGTACGTGAAGGAAAAATTACGCTCATTCTCATTCGAGATAAATTCGGATGCAAAACAGACTATGCCGTTTGGTTTATCCCGATACGATTTCTAGTTCTGGAGATATCGTCGTACTTGTAATTTTTTCGATGCGCTATCCCTGTTCTCGGTTCTCTGTCCCGTACCTTGACCCAGTTACTGACCAGCCTAGCTCTCACTATAACTCGTCTAGACATCTGCTTCTAGGAAAACAACCCTTTCTGGGACCAGAAGAAGAACAAGAATGCGCAGGAGCGATTCCGTGTGGCGCTTAAAGATTTTGATATTTCTTAGTACGTGTACAACCTCTCAGTTTGAAACTTAATTATAATTATTTTTCAATTCATATTTTTCATAACTTCAGATTTTACTACGTAGAGTCAAATCAAAATAAGGCAGGGTGGACAATATCTTACTTTTCGTCTAGCTTTAATTTCGACAGTTATTGCTAGAAAAGTAATAGTTCGTGGCCCTTTCTTGGAATCCAGGATTCCCGAGACAACCGCGAAAGCCGTCGGAGGATTTCTTAACTTCGTAACGTGCTGTCCCATGAAAGTTTCCTCATGTTGAATTCAAAAACTGATTCCCTTAGAAAACGAAAACGAGTTACCTGCTCCATTTCAGGCTTGACTTGATATCGTTGATCTTTTAAAAATGTAATAACCCTGTGGTTTAAATAAAACATTAAATACATAAATATTGTCCCATATGGTGAGAGCAGCAAGTTTTATTCCTTCTTTAACCACCTTCTTCACGTTCTCCTCTTATCACATTTAATTTAATAATACATATAAGAACCATTTTATTATCCACTTTGGAGTTGAGAAACATTTACAGAAACGTCGACTACGCAATTCCAGGGAATTCAACGACAAAACTGTTCGAAATTCCAAGGAATTATTCCCGCCATTCGGGAATACGTGGAATAAAGTAAACATCGTTACTGTAACGGAATAAATTCAAAGAGCGCGGGTACGGTACCGGGAGCGAAACGAAGCGTATTCGTTGAATGTTCCATAAAACGGAGAACGTTGACGATATATTATTCAGGATAGCTTTATCTTCGAAAGTAGGTACGATCGTACGCCTTATTTCGAGCACCAGGTTTCTATTTACGGGCGCCCGCGTCGAACGTTTCTCACGACTTAATTAAATAAATGATGTCCCGGCTGAAAAATTCGTTTCGCGCGGTTTCTTTCGCCTGCGTGCATTGTACGCCTTCACGTTTCGTGGATTTCCTACCGTATCTGAGGGTGGTTTGCGAGGTTGGAAAAGTTCGCGGCAGCGCGACGTGCGACGCGGCAAGATAGCGGAGTTTTAGTCGAGTACGCGAGGTATAAAAGTTTCCTGATGCAGCATTCAGAAAGTCGTTCTCGCAAACACGGGTACGTGAGCGTATTCTGTGCCTAGATTTAATACACCTCATCTTATTTATACGATTAGATGGCGAACGGGCAAGACCGGCACGATGAAATAGTTCGCCAATAAAATTTTTATACACGCGCCTCCTGTAAGATTGCTTTTTAAGAAGTTCCATATTTCGCTCCACGTCGACTGCCCGAATTTCAGTTTGGATTAATAACTTCCGTTCGCGATTGCTATAAAATTCTGATTGCGGGAAATACTGTTTTCTACATAAATGGATCAGATGGTTTTAAGATATAGTTTAAGTACGAAACAGAGTTCTGCGAATTAAGTGAAGACAGGAAATCTTTTTAAAAAATATATACTTATATTAATTTGATGGTATTGAATGTTTGAGATGTAAAATCTCACAGATGGCAAATTGTCGTATAACAAATATTGTAATTGATACGTTGTTAGTTGATTAGTTTGCCCCAAACTTGCCGAATATTCTGTCTTGACATTAAATGGAGTGCCTTTGCGTACCGAAGTTCCAAAATTTACACATGAAGACGAGTAAGACGTTTATGTAGGAGAAGATGTAACATGCAATCCCTGAAGTGACGTACAAGCGTCACTAAAATTTTATTAATGATTTCATTTATGAATCTCACGAAACAGCTTTCAAATTAAACAGTGTAAAATACGAAATTCATTGAGAATGAAAACATGATATCTGTACAGCATTATTTTTCACAGACTGCGTTTCTATAATTTCATAATATTTAATTACAAGAAACATTTTCGTTCTCATGGCTTATGCTGTAGGGTACAGTCTACGGCACTGGTAAACCCGGCCGTAGGCTCGAAAAATGCGGAAACGCAGCGCATCGCATCGCATCGCACGCTCTGTGAGGATCGACCATTAAACGGTCACGATCGTTGCAAGTAGTAACGAAGGCCGCCTGTCAGCCAAACATTTTAATGATCTCTATAACCCGCTGCTGACTTTACGTTACTCGACCCAGCAGCGTGGCACGGTGCGCGTCGAGAACTGCGAACTACGTACTCGGTTAGCAGCCTCAAACTTATACACAACGTGGACCATCCACATGGTTTTCCGCCGCTTTAAAGCACGGAAGTATAACGACACGATAAACCCGGGTCGTTCTCCACCCCATCCGCGATACCGTCCCTCGTCTCGTCACCCACTTCGCTCATCTCCACCTCCGGCCGTGTAATAAGCTCCCTGTACGTTTCGCGTTTTCTACACCGACTACCGTGTACCCTCGTTCAGCCCCGGGAAGCCGGCGTTTGTTCGGGTCGGTGCATAAATAGGCTTGCCAAAAGTTTATCACGGATTAGCCTCGGCATTGTGCTCCGTTTCGGCTGGTAAGAAACGAGCCGTAGAGGAAGAGACGGGAACGACGAGCGCGAGATGCCGGCTGGTAGGCGAGTACACAGGTGGAAGGGTCGGCTCGAGTACACCGAGGGTGTCTACCCACTTGGCTACACACTCGGTCCTCTCTTATCCAGTAGTCGCGCGCCTCGCCCGCACGTTCTACCGACTTCAACGAGGCAACTGCTTAACCGCGTCATAAGCAACCTCGCGAAACGCTCTTGGTCGTCGCGTCGAGCACGGAGCCAACTCGCTGGCTCCTAGCCGGATAGAGTCCCGGCTGCATCCTCGCAGTGACGCACGCTTTCGCGGGGTCATCCGACCATGCGCCGCGCCGCGGAATGAAGACGATTACCGTGGGTAAACCTTGACGCCTTCAGTGAATTTTCCGCGAGGTTTCGAGTGCATTGTGTATTTTAGAACCGTACAGGCTCGAGCACGAACGCGGGTGACGTAAACCGGGGACAAATAAACGTTGTTGGTCCGCGGTAAATAGTCATCGATATTTGTTACATGATCTCGCTTGGATTGCCGAGCTGTCGGTACGTGAAGGAAAAATTACGCTCATTCTCATTCGAGATAAATTCGGATGCAAAACAGACTATGCCGTTTGGTTTATCCCGATACGATTTCTAGTTCTGGAGATATCGTCGTACTTGTAATTTTTTCGATGCGCTATCCCTGTTCTCGGTTCTCTGTCCCGTACCTTGACCCAGTTACTGACCAGCCTAGCTCTCACTATAACTCGTCTAGACATCTGCTTCTAGGAAAACAACCCTTTCTGGGACCAGAAGAAGAACAAGAATGCGCAGGAGCGATTCCGTGTGGCGCTTAAAGATTTTGATATTTCTTAGTACGTGTACAACCTCTCAGTTTGAAACTTAATTATAATTATTTTTCAATTCATATTTTTCATAACTTCAGATTTTACTACGTAGAGTCAAATCAAAATAAGGCAGGGTGGACAATATCTTACTTTTCGTCTAGCTTTAATTTCGACAGTTATTGCTAGAAAAGTAATAGTTCGTGGCCCTTTCTTGGAATCCAGGATTCCCGAGACAACCGCGAAAGCCGTCGGAGGATTTCTTAACTTCGTAACGTGCTGTCCCATGAAAGTTTCCTCATGTTGAATTCAAAAACTGATTCCCTTAGAAAACGAAAACGAGTTACCTGCTCCATTTCAGGCTTGACTTGATATCGTTGATCTTTTAAAAATGTAATAACCCTGTGGTTTAAATAAAACATTAAATACATAAATATTGTCCCATATGGTGAGAGCAGCAAGTTTTATTCCTTCTTTAACCACCTTCTTCACGTTCTCCTCTTATCACATTTAATTTAATAATACATATAAGAACCATTTTATTATCCACTTTGGAGTTGAGAAACATTTACAGAAACGTCGACTACGCAATTCCAGGGAATTCAACGACAAAACTGTTCGAAATTCCAAGGAATTATTCCCGCCATTCGGGAATACGTGGAATAAAGTAAACATCGTTACTGTAACGGAATAAATTCAAAGAGCGCGGGTACGGTACCGGGAGCGAAACGAAGCGTATTCGTTGAATGTTCCATAAAACGGAGAACGTTGACGATATATTATTCAGGATAGCTTTATCTTCGAAAGTAGGTACGATCGTACGCCTTATTTCGAGCACCAGGTTTCTATTTACGGGCGCCCGCGTCGAACGTTTCTCACGACTTAATTAAATAAATGATGTCCCGGCTGAAAAATTCGTTTCGCGCGGTTTCTTTCGCCTGCGTGCATTGTACGCCTTCACGTTTCGTGGATTTCCTACCGTATCTGAGGGTGGTTTGCGAGGTTGGAAAAGTTCGCGGCAGCGCGACGTGCGACGCGGCAAGATAGCGGAGTTTTAGTCGAGTACGCGAGGTATAAAAGTTTCCTGATGCAGCATTCAGAAAGTCGTTCTCGCAAACACGGGTACGTGAGCGTATTCTGTGCCTAGATTTAATACACCTCATCTTATTTATACGATTAGATGGCGAACGGGCAAGACCGGCACGATGAAATAGTTCGCCAATAAAATTTTTATACACGCGCCTCCTGTAAGATTGCTTTTTAAGAAGTTCCATATTTCGCTCCACGTCGACTGCCCGAATTTCAGTTTGGATTAATAACTTCCGTTCGCGATTGCTATAAAATTCTGATTGCGGGAAATACTGTTTTCTACATAAATGGATCAGATGGTTTTAAGATATAGTTTAAGTACGAAACAGAGTTCTGCGAATTAAGTGAAGACAGGAAATCTTTTTAAAAAATATATACTTATATTAATTTGATGGTATTGAATGTTTGAGATGTAAAATCTCACAGATGGCAAATTGTCGTATAACAAATATTGTAATTGATACGTTGTTAGTTGATTAGTTTGCCCCAAACTTGCCGAATATTCTGTCTTGACATTAAATGGAGTGCCTTTGCGTACCGAAGTTCCAAAATTTACACATGAAGACGAGTAAGACGTTTATGTAGGAGAAGATGTAACATGCAATCCCTGAAGTGACGTACAAGCGTCATTAAAATTTCATTAATGATTTCATTTATGAATCTCACGAAACAGCTTTCAAATTAAACAGTGTAAAATACGAAATTCATTGAGAATGAAAACATGATATCTGTACAGCATTATTTTTCACAGACTGCGTTTCTATAATTTCATAATATTTAATTACAAGAAACATTTTCGTTCTCATGGCTTCGTTGGAAATATATTGCGCTTCTCTTTCCCAGAATTCCCATCCCTGCGTTTGAACATTTAACGTGAAAAGATTTTAAAATTCGATCTACGCGAACGGACCGAAGAGTTTCGATTTACCGAAACCATAATTACGTTCCGTACTTTTTTCTTCACGTACGAATTTGATTATCGAGTACAACGGTTACACGCGAAAATTACGTGAAAATGGAAGCTTCTTTACGATCACCGCGAAGGCGTATGGGCATCCTTCCCTCGTTCCATGTTCCAGACTGTACACCGAAGCGCTCCCTGGCAGAAGCTCGAGCTTTGCCACGGGCTCGGAGCACATTGCACAGCTGCAAAGTACCGCATTTTCTAAATCCCACGGGTCGAAAGGCGCAAAATTCCTTCTGACGAAGTAGCAGAGAATATACAGGCTCCGAGAGTTGGCTTAAACGGTTGGAAAAAACCGCAAAACCTCTCGTACCAGAGGTAAGACTTTACATTTTATTTCAAGATGCAAGCTTATTTTTCTATGAGCTTAGCAGTAATTAGAACAATATATTCTTGCCTATTTTAATAATACCACCTGTTCTACATTAAACATACACACTTACAGAATTAACAATTTATGAAAATTTTTAATTAAGTCTGCTTGTTATGTGGTAAATTATATTTCCATTTTTTAATTGGAATAATAATTAAAACGTGTTTAATATCATTCGAATAATTGTTTGTATACGTAAGGCATTTAAAAAGATATTGTGGTAGGTAATATATTATCGTGTAATATCAAGGTGGATATGTACAAGGCTGGCGCTGGTAGATCGTACATATAAAACGTCAAGAACGTAAAATATGCGAATGATATGTCGGGCACAAGGTACTCCATAGTCACGTGAGATTTTCCGTCTGGATGCAAACCTCAGCAGTATGTGCAGACTTCACGTTCACAAATGGTTATCTCCTTTCACGGTTAGTTCATATAAAAAGAACGTTTTCCCTGTGCATTTCTATCGATTTTCATGGTGGATTGGTCGGAGATAGAAACGTTTATAAAATTCAAGACAGAAGAAGTACTGTAATTATTTCACTCTCGTATTTGACGAAATAAATACTTGAAAGGAAATGAATAAAATGAAATTCAACGAGAACCACGTGCAATTCAATTTTATTTGAAAAGGCGCGTTGAATTTTACATGAAAATTAATGATTAAAGTCTAGTAGCATAAATCGACTAAAACATTTACAATTAATCCGCAATTCCTTCAATTCGACTTTGCTCGTCGTGTTTCCAGTACGAGAACTTCGAGAAGTGAAGACGGTTTCGTTCGAGCACCACTTGCGTCCAAGGAGTTTGCAGCGAATTAACTAATTATGGTGCATGTAGTTATGTACCCGCAGAATATATTACATCGTACATTATACCCTTAAGAAGCTATTGCAGTGTAAAATCATGAAGTACCTGGTAAATTGACATAGTTAGTGTCGATTAAGAGTTATCGGAGATCACGTACGTAGGTACTTCGTACACTCTCATGTTAAAAAGAAGCAAACCAATAGTTGAGGCACTACCAGATAACGAGATTTAAGTGAGTAAAAGTTTGTTCCCTCGCTATAAACTCGACAGCGTACGCAAATGTGCGTCACAGTATTCTTCACAATACTTCAAACGAACTCGACCAAATTTCGAACGGAAAAAACTTTTCTCATTATTTCAGCAAGCGTATTCTAATCGAAAGAGGCGGAAGTTTCCCGAACGCTTCCCACCTCCGCTCCTCCCTCGGATCCGTCGTTCGCTTCTCCTTCGTGGAATTAAACAGGAAGGATTAATTAAAGGTGCAATTCATCGACGTTGAACGCACCGTGGATGCGTAATAAACGATTCGAATGAAGGAACGGAGAAGGAGGCGAATAAAAACGGCGCGCGAGAACGTTGATGCCACGCGGTCGACTACGACTGATTTATGAACGAAAACAATGATGCACGCTCGAGCGGGTTCGTGGGTTAATCAACAAATGATTTTCCCTCTGTCTTCGGTTTTTCCGTAAAGCACGCGTACCGCTGGGAGGGGGAAACACGAGACGCTCCAGTGGCTCGCGAGAAACGAGCAGTAGAAAGGGCTGTGAGGATAATAGGGTCCCGGGTACAATAACGTGTGATCAAAGGGAGAGTGTCTAGTTATCCAAGTGTAACGGCATAAAACACACGGAGAATCGCGAATCGATAGAGGTGAAATCGTGTTGGCGAGGGTGCAATGCGGCAATGGTTCACCCCTCCGCGACCGTTCTCTCCTTCAACCCTCTCCCAGTACCTCCCGCCCTTCCCCGCTCTCTATCTATCTCAATATCTGTCCCTATCTTTCTTCGCATCTACCCGTCCCCGTCTCTTTCTTCCCGCCAACCCTTCCAACCTATTCTTTCGCCTCCTTTTCCCGTCGCTCCTATCGCGCAGCTCTTCCCTCCCTTTTCATCCAACAACGGTTTCCTATTCACGTACTTCACATTCTCCGTCCCTCTCTCGTACAATATCTACGTGTCTACCCTTACTCGAGCCACTCGATACTTTTTATTTCCCTCTAACCAATGGAGTTCATAGTGGTCCTCGCCGGTAATGATGAATCAGTAGGCACATCTCGCTCGCAACGGTGTCCCATTCAAATTCGCAAGAGACTCTAGACACACGGTAAATCAAGTATACATAGCAAATGCATACATCTCGCGTATATGCCTCATCATCTTTAACCATTAAAGACAAGTTTGCGTATTCAAGGAAGACGAAATCTATAGAACCGCACATTTTTTCACGATACAATTAACTAATTGAATCAATGGAAATGTTTGTCCGCTAGTCAAACGGTCCATGTAATTACGTATGTAATCGCAAGGGTAATAGGCGGGAGGAAGTCTCGATGAGCTGTGAGAAACATCCTTGACGTAGCCGCGAAGACAATGGAGGATATTAGATAGCAGTCAATGGCGTGATTTGCCACAGGGTTGGGATTTCGGCTAGCCATTCCGCGTAATTACTGCGGTATCTGAGCGACGCTTAATCCCGTTTACAAAGCATTACCAGCTAATGGATACGTCGGTCGTCGCGTCGAGTCGGAAGACCGAGGTAACGGTGCTCAAAGTCAAGCTACTGTAGAATCCACAGAAATTCATTGAAATTGTATATATGTACATACATATATTGGTCACTGTCTAAATGAAAAGAATTGTGTACGTATGGAATTAGCAAGTTGTAAATAAATATGAATGTGTATGAAAAATGATTAATTTCATTTAATAATACTATGTATCCGATTTCATTATTACCGTAAAAATGGTTAATATTTAAAGAAAGGAATTCTTAAAGCTCAGCTTTTGTTGAGGAGAAAATTACCACGCAATCTGTGTCAAACATATTGAAAGTTTATCGTACTATAAATTTTATAGCGGAAATCTTGGCCGGTAATTTGGTAACGCGATACCCATAAATTTTTAAAGGATTCGACGCGATCGACCCTGAAATGCTTAACAACGATCTAGGATGGTGCCTCGGCTAATGGTCGT